TTTTGGAGGAAGTCTCGTACGAACCGCGTTTTGGAGACTTGGCGGTTCACTTTTGGAGGAAGTCTCGTACGAAGCGCTCGTTTTGGAGACTTGGCGGTTCACTTTTGGAGAGTCTCGTACGAAACGCTCGTTTTTGGAGACTTGGCGGTTCACTTTGGAGGAAGTCTCGTACGAAACGCTTGTCTTGGAGACTTGGCAGTTAACTTTTGGAGGAAGTCTCGCACGAAACGCTTGCTTTGGAGACTTTGACACGTGACTTTTGGAGGAAGTCTCGTACGAAACGCTCGTTTGGGAGACTTGGCGCTTCACTTTTGGAGCTGGACTCAGAAGTGGCCAGTTTGTAGTACAAATGTAGTGCGGGAAAGAGCGTTTCGGAGCTGGACTCAGATGTGGGTGTGGCCAGTTTGTAGTACAAATCTAGTGCGGGAAAGAGCTTCTCGGAGCTGGACTCAGAAGTGGCCAGTTTGTAGTGCAACTGCAGTACCGGAAAGAGCTTTTCGTTGCAGGCACAGTGTTTTGTCATCATCATCATCATTATACATACTCACGCATTACGCATCATCATCAGCATCAGCATACATACAACATCATCATCATCAGCACCGCAATACACTATCATACATCATCATCATCATCATCGTCATCATCGTCATCATCATCGTCATACACACGCAGACATTTTGCATCATCATGCGCCTGTGATCATTCGTTTTCTTTTGGAACTCTTTCGTTATAATGCTTACTCTTACTCCTACTATGCTCTCGGGCCACCCTGTCATCTAGTTTCCTTTTTGCTTATTTCGAGCGATTCACTTGTCCCACTCCATTATGGAACCTACCTCTCTACGAGCTAAGTAATGTATGTTGCAAACCGCACTTGTGTCATACGTTTTTCTTGAGTTTGTGAAACCCTTGGAGTTGACTTGTCTCCTAATCTACTTGCGACGGCCTCCAACCTATTTCGGACGACCTCCAGTGTGTGAAGCCCTTGGGGTCACACCTACGCTGAACCACTGTCTTGCCATTTGCTGCTAACCTACTAGCGATGGCCTCCAGCCCTTTGTGAGTGGTTTGACGGCCTCCAACCTAAATGCAATGGCCTCCACCCTACCTTTTTGGTTGGCCTTCTACCTGGATGCGACGGCCTCCAACCTACTTGTGCTGACTTCCAACCTAAGAGCGATGGCCTCCAACCTAATACCTGACCTGTTCTCTTGGCAAGCCGCAATGGAATCAGTACGCAATATCTTGAGTGTGTCTGGCTTCATGCCAGCCCAGGGTGAAGCCAAGGAGTGTCCCTGTGGCCCCGTCGAAAAGGGGTTTGTCCATGATCCCCAGCTTGGGAACGTAGGTGTCCGTAGCGGACAGCAGGAGGCTTATACGCCAAAGTTATTTGCCAAGATCTGATGGATTATTGATTTTAGCCTCCTAACGACTAGCAATGATCAGTTCCCCTTACTTGCCTTCTGAGGATTTGGGCACCGTGTGGCCAGTGGCGCTCCCCCGTGAGAGCCCAGGGTGTACCCGAGGAGTGTCTGTGGGCCCGTCGAATGGGGGTAACGTTTCCAGTGACCGTACACCACGGCAAAGTATTGAGTGGCAGGTTTCGAGCAAGCCAGGAGGTGACCGCAGTGGTCAAAGCAGCCAGCCATTTTGGCAGGCCCGAGTAGACCACAGCGGTCGCAGAACTTTTTGACCCAATTCGGGTCAGTCGCTGCCTTAAGGTGCGCGCACGGCGTCCGGACGCATGCGAGTGCACGTGTGACGGCGCACGTATGGGAGTGCGCGCCCACACATGAGCTGTCAAGGTTTCTTTCCCCTTGAACCTGAGCTGGCAAAACCATAGCGGAGAGCCTTACATTCTGTTTAATTTTCTGTTTTCTGAGGCCCCGAAGTGGAGTTAATCCCTGAGGGCTACGAGCGGCATGCAGACGGCTGGCGCTGCGCTCCGGGCTTCGTGGGGGACGCCAAGGCGAACGTGGGCACAAAGGGCGAAAAATTCCAACAAGTGCTGTGTGAAGTCATGTCACCGGGGTGAGCGTGGGCCATTGTAGCTTTTAGCTCTAACTGACAGGCTTTGCCAACCGGTGGTGCGTTTGGGGGGGTTCCGCCTATCCGCAGGCTCTTTGCGCAGCAAATTTGACGATTAGCGCAGCCTCTGACCCTGCGCGAACACACTCCCACACAGGTGTGCGCGCGAGGGCGACCTCAGCTTCAGACACACGTGCGCGTGCGAGAAAAACGCACACCCGCGCGCGGGCGCGAACGCGAACGCGCGCGCGCGCACCTGAGATTTTGCGTCGCCGCGCGCCGGCCTGAGTGAAAAACCTCAGAGACCTGGTAAGTGATGTACGGTAATTCCAAAAACCTCCAAAGCCTCCAAAGGCAAGGTCAAGTTCAAGTCCCAAGCTCGCGAAAGTTCCAAAGTGAATCGCCGATGCACTAGCCCTTTACAGCAAAGACACTAAGTGCAGAAACAACGTATTGGACACGTATTGGACAGCTTTGCTTTTACGTAGGTTCTTCTCAAAGCAGGTACGTAGCTCCAGCGTCCCGGAGCTACATCGCAGACCAGTGCAAGTGTCTTTGTTAGCGCCAGCCTTGCACGGTCCCTGGCACGCCCTGCTGTAATTACCGACTCCAAGGGTTTCACGCGCACACACACACGCCGCCCCGAGGGGAGGCGAGAAACTCTAAGGCCCAGGCGAATGTGTAAGTGTGCGCGCAGCAAGAACAACGAATGAAGACATGAAACAAGGGCAAGATGGGGCAAAGGTGTGTGTGGAGTCCGACAAGCGATGAAAACCCACATCATTATAAAGACCTGGGCGGCGCCCAATGCAGTTTCTACTGCGTGTGTTTGACGTGCGAATTACAGAAGCCGTGCGGCAAGTGCGGCGTTGCAACGCCGGAGATGGCATGTGGAGCGGCCGCCTGGGAGGCACGCCATGCTGACCGACGTATTTCTAGCAACTGTGCGGTGGACTTCAGTGCGTGGACGAGGCGGTGCGCTGGGCAGCGAAATGGCACGCAGCGTTGCAAAGCATGTGAACAGTGCGCGCCACGGCTCAAAGCGGGCTAACCAAGCTCCGACGCCGGCTGGCCCAAGAACGGCGCACAGCGCTAGTGGCTCCGCGCGCTGATTGAGGGGCAGAGACCCAATTCCCCACCGCGACGAAACCCCCACGCCTGCGGCGTCTGGCAGTGGCAACGTGCCAGGCGCAATGCCCCTTCTGCCAGCAAGAGGTGCAGAGCGCAGGGACCACCGGAGGTCGACCGCAGATGTCTGCATTAAACTGTGTCGCGTGGCCAACGGCGTCGTTGCGGAGCAGAAACATCAACGTCCATGCCCCCGCTGCGGCGCGACGATCCTTTCTGGAACCCTGTAGAAAGTCGAAGCCCACGGTAGCTGCAAGAAGCAGGTCCGGAGGCTGCGTGGACCCATGCCAAAACACAGCGAAGCCAGTCTCTAACATTGCCTTCGGAGCCCATAGAAAGTGGAGTCCAGGACAAGCCATGGGAGGCGTTTTGAGCCGTCGGCCATGGTTCCAGCACTTGAACCGCTCCATGCCATGTCGGCCTTGATGTCCTCGATGTCGGTGACTCGTTGCATCAGCGCCGGCCAGGCGCCGCAACTGCGAGCCTTGAGCATGCAATCGAGCGCGTGCGTCCATCTCTCCGGTGGTCATGACGGGCTTGGTATTATTGGCGATTGTCGCTCACACTGTTATACGATTGGGGCAATCGACGCGCGTGACAAAAGGCACCAAGAACCAAGCATCTCACTTCAAGCCAAAAACGTTAACGGCTTATCGTTGAAGGAACAAACTAAAAATAACGCGCATCATTTGTTTTGCCCTGTCCGGAGGTCAAGAAGCAGGGACTCTTCAGGCCTAAGTCTCACTCAATTAGTGAATTGCACTTCCTGATTTGACATGTGGAAAACGCAACGCGTACACTGACGCATTATCAAAAGCAGTGAAAATGTTTACCGCCTATTAATCTGCTGTGACAGGATCAGACTGTTGATCATGCTTTGCCACAAATAATTTCCTTCGATTCTTCTCTAGACCTTAGCAGATCAAAAGCCTCAGCGCTTTCTTTGGTCAAGGCGTCGGCTAGCGTGCGATCGGCTGGTATCCATCGAACCTGAGCTTTTAAGCGGGCTATGCCTTCTCGAAGTATGATGATATCTATAGATGTCCGACGATCGTGCAATGTATAGGGGAAGCTTGTGAAAGCAGATGGTCGCGCAATTACTTGCAATCGGTCACTAGCAGGATCAGCCGATTTCCCAACCCCGACCAAAGAGTTTGAGAAAACCTGGGGCCGCCCACGGCCTCCGAAAGCCAGAGTGATGATGGTTGAACTCACTGCGACAAGCGAAGCTTTTCCAAAAACATGGACTCCAACTGCAATCGTGGCCTTCATTCACCCGTTGGTCCACAAAACTGATGGTGTAACCCGCCGGGGTTGCTCCGGCTTTGGCGTTCCCGAACGCAGCGTCAGAATAACGCATCGAGGCCGAGTGAATGGGACTCATGCTGCTTAGCCCTAGGTACTGCATGATTGGCGGCTATGGCATCCCTACTGTGGGTAGGAAACGATTGTTTGCGCAAAGGACAGCTGAGTTGCTACATCGGGCGAGACTGGCTTCCTCTCAGCTTCGGTTTTCCGGGCTCGCTCACGGCTCATGTGGAGTGGCCGAATCTTCTGGGCGAACGTTTCTTGGGGCGTGGTGATGGCGAAAGTATCGAGACATTGCTTGTACTTAAAACCACAAAAGTCACCTTCACCAAGGCGCCGCTTCCGAAACTCAAAGGTCTTGCGGACTTCTTGGATAGCCGCGTGGTAGGCCTCTCCTTCTCCCCCCGTGTGTGTCATCAACATGAACCCCATAAACGCCACGAAGTCGACCTTGCTCACGAAAGAAGCGCAAACGTGAATCGAATTGACGCTTTTTAAACCCAAACCGAATCAACTCAGAGCTCAACTTATGGTGAGTCGTTTAACCCATATACGTGGCTGAGAACCTCGATCAAAGCATCGTCGGGAACTCCTCGAATACCTCCCTTAGGCAAAGTAGCGTAGAGGGGCCTATACCGTTGGAGTAAATCTCCGGATGCAAGAAAGGCTCCCTTGATGTCGCCCAGTGCGAGCTGCCACTGGTGTGACGCTAGCAGTTGAAACACTCCGGCTTGCTTGTGCCAAGGTTGGGCTCTGGAGATCACCGGCTAAAGCTTTCTCTGACAGGTCAGGATCAAGGTGACGCAAAAGACACCGCCTAGCCTGCGTATGTGGGGCTGCACCATCTTCCTGTTTGATCGGCGACCAACCGACTCTCCATGATCCGGTGTCTCAGCCCCAAAGGCTACCCTACTGGCACGCTTGTCAGTGATAGTACCCCACTCAAGAACCTTAGCTTCATCAGTTTTTCGTTGAAGTTCAGGGCTCTTTATAGCGGTTTTCTTCTTCATGCGGGTGCCTGATGCTCTTATACTGTCTGAACGGAAAGCACGGTGACCTCTCACAGGCAAAGGTGACACCGCCTGATACCGGTTGGTGTTCAGCCAAGAGAGTCTCATCATCCACGTTTGATCTCTTCTCGCGCGGGTCAGGATGCTCCGGATCCGGTGGTGGAGGTCGCTTGACTCCTCGGCTTTCCATGGTGACATCACCTTCGCTAGCTTCAGGGTTGGTCACTTTCTTCAACGATTTCGCGGATTATCTCTTGCGCCATGTCCTGAAAGTCTTGTTGAATCACGCGTTCAGGCCGATATAGAGCCATGGGGGGTGATCCGTCGCCAGGATGCCTCTCGCAATGGCTCCGCTGGTGGAGAGTGTTGAGGTGGTGCTGTGTGTCCTTGGAGGCCTTGCCCTTCATGTGTGGAATCTACGCTACCAGGCTGTTCCTCCTGCCTACCTGCGAAGGGCCGTGGTTCTTCGCCCACATGCTTTGGCACCGGCCGCAGGGACTGATCAAGCATAGGCTCATCGGGGATGACCTCTGTTCGGATTCAATCAGATGCTTAATCCCGAGTAGTTCCATTTTGGGGCTTCCACAAGCTTCATCTCATCTTCAGTCGAACAACAAACCTGTTCCTGACCAGGACACTTCCTACAACTAGGTTGCCTTGTGGATTAGATTTCCACCTGGCGCACGGAGATCATAGCAACACATGTCGGTGGACACCATGGGACACTGCTTTCGAAGAAGGGACATGGACTGCAGGTTGCATGCGACGGAGTCTCGTGGATGCTCAAAAATGAACCGACCACCTAGCTCCAGTTGGAGCTGTGTGAGTTCACAACAAAAAGGACACAAACAGGCGAGTCCACGTCTCCCATTCGGTCAACTGTTTAAGGGACATATTGATGCCACCAGCCTCCGGCCCAAGTGCAGGGCGGACAGCGCGCTAGAAGTTTGAGTTTGTCTCGTTTGATGATCTCTTTCCAGTGTTCACGTTGCCCCCTGTTCCGGAAACCCCACCCGGTGCACAGGTCGGCGGGCAGCGCTTTAACAATATCATATGATTCACTGCTTGACCGTTCCGGAGTGGTCGGCGGTTGAGCCTGGGCCATCAACTGATGGTGCTGTCTTGCAGTGAAATCCATGAGCAAAAGAAACGAAAGACCGTTCGGCCGGTCCATGGGTGCTCAGTAATCACGGCGTGGGCGGAATCAGGCTCAGTCCATGGGTCTGACCTTGTGACTAGTGTCTCCCATTTGCTTTGCGCAAAGGTGGTCCTAGAGGTCTCGAGCATGAATGGGACAATGTGTGTTAACTGGGGTAAACAGTTTAGTTTGAGGTCTCCTATCGTGACCAACCATGGTCCTTTCGTGTGGCCTCACTTCCCAAGAACCCTTCTGCTTGTTCTCGTGATTATTGTATTCTACTGAGAGGCGCCATGTGCAGCGACGAAAACTTGCTAGCTCCGGGAAGTCCGCGACCTTGATCGCATACTGACCTGCGGAGTTGACTTCCATCGGCGCAGGCGCCTGCGAATCGAAAAGCTGAAGGCTGCCCTCGCCAAAGTTTTCAGCCTCTTCTTCGATGGACGGGATAGCAGCAAAGGAGCTGCCCCCGAGATATATCACGGTTTGCCGGCCAGGAAGATGGGCGCGTCGATCGTCGCTTCACTGACTTCTTGTTGTCCGTTTCTGTACCGGAAAACATTGCGCTGTTTGAGCTCTGTGCCCAGCTCCCTCCGTCTGATGGAACGAGGTGAGCTACCCTGGGCAGTGTCAGCCTCATCAAAGCCTTCGCCATCATCCCTGGGCCATGTTCAGCCAGGGACAGCTCCACATCGGTTCCCCCTCAGTCGACTCCTCAACCACACGGGCAGCAGCCACCTTGCGCGTGGAGATCACATAGTAGTCGGGGAAGACCGACCTCATGGCTTGCGACGTCTCATCAAACTTGAGGTTGCCCTGAGCTCGAGCCAGCGACAGCTCGCAGCGCCCATCCGCCGCACCAGTCTTCTGAGCGCAGCGGTCGAAGCATTCCCGTGCCCGGGCGCACCGCTGGAGAATTGTTTTGCCTTCTTTGGACGTAGGGTTGAACACGTCGGAGATGTGTTCCCCGATCTCGTCAGCGCGGACTTTCTCAGGCCATCGAAGATCGAGGAGTCCGTCGCGTGGTATTCATTCTCCTGGAGGTGCTCCACCACTTCCAAGGCACGACCTTGGAGGAGCGTCCACACGAACGACCCTCGCTCTTCCGGTGGCAGCTTTTCGTTGCACCATTGCTTCCAGCGCCGAATTCGCGATAATCACAATCCGGAATCTTCCCTGCTAAAATTGCGGAGGCTTGCAACAACGAGCGCGCACGGTCGAAAACCCAGAGAGCTTCCAGCCCGCCCGAGCCCAGTCTGTTACCGGGCTCTGCTACCAATGTTGGCAGCGCGATACCGACGCCCCGCACTGGTCCATTTTCACCTGGGCATAAATGTCTCTGCGCACGGTCCACGATCAACGCATCTATTTCTGTTTAGGGGGGTAGGCCGTTAAAAGGAGGTCAGCTAAACAAGTAAGAGGGGTCATAGAAGCAAGTCGTTTTCAAGCAGGCCGCAGCTAGGCAGGACGCGCTCTCGTTTGGAACGAAGGACGCTTGGGGTTTCATTGTTTGGGTCTTATCTGTTTGAGGGTTTTGAGGCAAAGTTCTTATGGACAGGTTGCAGTAGATCCAAACTTGCCAAAGTAGCACGCCATGACGTTGATTTGCTCTCGGCCTTTGCGCTCGAACGTGGAAGACATCGATAGACATCGATAGACATCGGGAAACGTCAGTGTGATCGACGTCGGTCTACTTTTGCTCGACTTGTCGATTTGAAAGTGCCTCGCGTCAGGCTTTTTGTGATGTCGATGCAGTTTGCACTCCACAAACAGTGCTCAGCGGTTGTTTGCGGAAGTTGCCGTGCTGGCCGCTGGAAGTGGATGAGTGCATGATGGTGCCTTTGGCAAACTTGATATTTCGAGGCTCTCGAGGCTCAATTTTTTTAATGTTTTTTGGGTAATTTGCTCGAGTTTGTCCCTTTTTGACCAATGCCCTTTTAAGGCAACGCTTACTTGTTATTTCGCTTTTGTTCATTTTTGTTCTCCTTCGTATCCGGTTCCCCATCATTCTCTCAGGATGCTTCAGATTGCGCGGTGCAGCCGGGACAGTCCTGTTTTGTTCGCTGCAAGGCTCGAACAAACCTAAGAGATTAACACGTTTGCTTGAGGGTGAAGAAAACGATCGTTTTTTGTGAGAACACGATTGGCTTTTCATCAACAGGTTTGTGGAAGGAGATTTGGCAGACGTGGAGGGTGATTTGTTTTGGACACTTTTTCACGAAGGTGTAGCGAAGGGTTTCCGTATGTGTGGTGGGCGGGGGCTGGACCTGTGTTTGCCTTGTGTGGGCTGGTATCTGGAGTCTCGCTGCGCCGTCAAAATTTTTGGAACCGTTCTTGGACGGATGGACGAAAGCGTGTGCGGTTCACGTGTCAGCGCATTTCGACGTTCCATTGGACTGGCGTTCGCAGGTTCTGGTTTGGAGGTGTTGAATGTCGCCGCGCCATTAGGATTTGCGCTTGAGGCGCTTGCCTCCAAGCTGTGTTTTGGTGACAGGTCCCAGCTATAGACTTGCGATTCGGTTGATGTGTGCTCAGAATGTTGATGTCTGCGTTGCAAGCTTGGCGCACGGAGAGCAATTTTTGCTAGACTCCAGTGGCTGAAAAGATTGTCAATGTCGTTGGCGTCTGTGCTTGAGGGGCTCGGTGCCAAAATGCTCGGCACCGCTGCACGATGTGTTCGGTGTGATGAGACATCCCGCTTTGCTTTTGAAGGAAGTCTTGTACGAAATGCTCGTTTTGGAGGAGTCTTGCCTTGTGCAAACGCTCGCTTTAGTGACACGGAGCCCAGAGTCTCGCATGAAATGCTCATTTTGAAGGCTGTCTCGCATGAAAACATCTCTTGCGAGATATGAGGGATCAGCTTTGGAAGTCTCGTACGACATTTTTTTTTGAAGTCTTGTGCGACAAGAAGGTAGTAGTAACAAGTGCATCGCTACTAGTAACAAGTGCCTTACTAGTAGTAACAA